CCTGCAGGCTGTCTCGGAGCCGCTGCGGCCAAAAGAAGGACACTTTGTCGGTTTAACTGTTGGGTCGCTTTGTCGGCTGATTTCGGGCGCGTCGTCGTCGTCGTCGTCGTGGTCGTCGTTGTCGTTGTGGTGTCGTCGTCGTCGTCGTCGTCGTCGTCGTCGTCGTCGCCACCATCGTCGTGGTCGTCGTCATCGTCGTCGTTGTCGTCGTCGTCGTCGTCGTCGTCGTCGTCGTCGTCGTTGTCGTCGTCGTCGTCGTCGTCGTCGTCGTCGTCGTCGTTGTCGTTGTCGTCGCCGTCCATAAGATGTCCCCAAGAGGGCCCTAAGAGGGCCCCAAGAGGGCCCCAAGAGGGCTCCAAGGGGGCCCCAAGAAGGCCCCAGGAGTGATGTACCAACCCAGCGGCCGCTGGTACATAACTCCTGGGGCCCTAAGAGGACCCCAAGAGGGCCCCAAGAGGGCTCCAAGAGGGCCCCAAGAAGGCCCAGAGAATTCTGTACCAACCCAGCGGCCGCTGGTACATAACTCTTGAACCTTCTTGGGGCCCTCTGATGGCCCTTTCGGAGCCCTCTCGGGCCCCTGGTTGGCCCTAAGAGGGCCCCAAGAGGGCCCCAAGAGGGCCCCAAAAGGGCCCCAAGAGAGCCCCAAGAGGGCTCCAAGAGGGCCCCAAGAAGGCCCCAGGAATTATGTACCAACCCAGCGGCCGCTGGTACATAACTCCTGGGGCCCTCCTCCTCCTCCTCCTCCTCCTCCTCGGCGACGACGACGAGGAGGAGGAGGAGGTGTAAACGCACCCTTACCCAGCCCCTGCAGGACCAGGCAGCGACACTTGGACCAAAATTCCCGGCCCCTCTTTTGACCCCAGAGCTCTCGGCCCCGTCCAGGAGTTCCCGACCCCAACCCGGAGCTTTCGGCCCCATCCCGGAGCTCTCGACCCGCAGACGACGGCGACGACGACGACGACGACGACGCCTCGACCTGGAGTGGTAAGTTTTGCTGCTGCTTTTCCCCAGGGTTTTAGAGCCCTCGGGGCCCGGGGGGGCCCCCAAACGGATCCGAAGCCTCAAGTTTTTCCAGCCCACGACCGACGACCAGCGACGGCGACGACGACGACGACGGGCATGAGTTACTTGGCGCCCCCCCTTGGGAGCATCGGGTAATTGGGGGGGGGGCGCTCCACACCCCCCACTTACCCGGTGTCCCCCGGGGGACATCGGGTAACTTGACCTTGCAGGGGGGTGTTAGGCACGGGTTACCCGGTGGCGAGGGGGGGGCATCGGGTAACTCGACCTTGCACGGCGGGGCGTCGGGCATGAATTACCCGGTGTCCCCCGCGGGACCTCGGATCAGCGGGGGGTGCGCTCGACACCCGCCACTTACCCGGTGCCTCCCGAGGGCGTCGGGCAAGTCGACCTGGAGAGGGGCGCGTTCGGCATTATTCGGTAAACCAGTGGACCCCCATGAGACATCGGAGTCACCCGGTGGTCCCCGTGGGACAGCGGCCCATGGGACATCGGAGTCACCCGGTGTCCCCTGGGGGACATCGGGTAGTTCGACCTTGCAGGGCCGGGGGGGGTCTGGTCACGAGCTACCTGGTGCCTCCCCGTGGGACATCGGAGTTGCCCGGTGTCCCCCGTGGGACATCGGAGTTAGCCGGTGGTCCCCTTGGGACATCGGCCCGTGGGACATCGGAGTTGCCCGGTGGTCCCCCGGGGGACATCGGGTAGTTCGACCTTGCAGGGCCGGGGGGGGCTGGTCACGAGCTACCTGGTGCCCCCCCCGTGGGACATCGGCGATATCGGAGTTGCCCGGTGTCCCCCGTGGGACATCGGAGTTAGCCAGTGGTCCCCGTGGGACATCGGCCCGTGGGACATCGGAGTTGCCCGGTGGTCCCCGTGGGACATCGGCCCGTGGGACATCGGAGTTACCCGGTGGTCCCCGTGAGACATCGGCCCGTGGGACATCGGAGTCACCCGGTGGTCCCCGTGGGACATCGGCCCGTGCGACATCGGAGTTACCCGGTGGTCCCTGTGGGACATCGGCCCGTAGGACATCGGAGTTACCCGGTGTCCCCCGGGGGACATCGGGTAACTCGACCTTGCAGGGGGGGGTCTGGGCATGAGTTACCCGGTGGTCCCCCGTGGGACATCGGAGTTACCCAGTGTCCCCCGTGGGACATCGGAGTTACCCAGAGGTCCCCGTGGGACATCGGCCCGTGGGACATCGGAGTTACCCGGTGGTCCCCCGTGGGACATCGGAGTTATCCAGTGGTCCCCGTGGGACATCGGCCCGTGGGACATCGGAGTTACCCGGTGGTCCCCGTTGGACATCGGAGGTAACTGGTGGTCTCCGTGGGACTCCGGCCGGCCTGGCCCCTCTTGGGCCCTCTTAGGGCCTTCTTGGAACCCTGGTTGGCCCAAAAGATGGCTCCAAGAGGGCCCTAAGAGGTCCCATCAAGAGGGCTCCAAGAGGGCCCCAAGAAGGCCCCAGGAATTATGTACCAACCCAGCGGCCGTTGGTACATAACTCCTGGGGCCCTCTTGGGGCCCTCTGAGGGCCCTCTTGGAGCCCTCTTGGGCCCCTGGTTGGCCCTAAGAGCGCCCCAAGAAGGCCCCAGGAATTATCCGTAGCCATTTTGGCTCAAGTACGACATCTATCAAGCCAGCTGGGCAGGAGCAGCTTCTTCAGCTGGTCCAGAGGTGGTCTGCCCAGGCCAGGACTCAGCAGCTTGCACGCTTTTCTCTATTCCTTTCCTCCCTCCCACTGCACAGCGGCCGCCATGCCTGCCGCCGACAGGTCCCGATCATCGGACTCGACGGGAAGCAGTGAATCCAGACGCAGGGACTCCTCGTCCCGAAGCCGCTCTGGCCGCTCGGATCCTGGCCGCTCCGTTGGCACCAAGAGCAAGCGCCCGAAGGCCTCCGACGGCGAGAAGCTCGACGAAGTGCTACGCGCGCTCCGAGGTTTCGGCTCGCAACTCTCCACGCAGTCCTACGACATTGGCCTCATCAAGAACCAGGTCGCTGCACAGACTGTTAGGTGTGATCAGCTCACGGTGAATATGACCACCCTCACCAATGACATTCAATCGAAAGTCGCTCAACTCGAAGGCCAACAGTCCGCCATGTTCACCGACCTGAACGACCGCTTCACCACGCTCAAGGGTGAGGTCCACACGCAGATCACGAATGAGCTCCGCGCCCAGGAAGCCCGTACAGCCGTGCCTATCTTCGACATAGACGACGAACAGGGTGCTGAGGTTCACGCCAAAATTCAACAACAGATTGCCGAGATCAAGGCACAGTTACGCACTATTTCGACAGCCCCCTCGGTCTCCAGCTCGGTCGAGGCGCAGCAGGACAACACTTGCACGCTGGTCGCGATCGGCTTCCCTCGCAAGATGCTCGCCCGCTCCCTGAAGACGATTGCCGACGCCATCAAGTCGCAGTACGCCCCGCAGGATGTCCAGGCTCGGATCACCGCCAAATGTTTTGACATGGCCAAGAAGATCACCTTCCACTTCGAGAGCGCCTCAGACGCCACGAACTTCCTGACGAACTACAGTCGCGACGGGGTCTTTCGCCATCCTGACCCCCTCGCCCCGCAGAACATGCTCAATATCAAGCTCAAGAGAGACCAGGACATCAAAGGCCGCCAGCTGTTCCTCTCCATGGGCAAAGTGCGCGCGCTCGTATCCAACCTGTTGGCTCCCAGGGGCATCGAAGTTGGCAGCAATGGGTTGGGAGGGCTCGTATACGCCTTGAAGTCAGAGAATGAACCCATCGAGATTGCCCAGATCCAGGTCTCGGGTGACGACCTCGCGATTTCCGTCGAGCTCGACGCCGCTGGCCTGAGAGAGTTTGGGTTGGAGACCCAGGCTGCCGCCATCCGCGCTGCTGCGCTTGTGCCCATCAGGCGTCCCTTTCGACGCTGATTCTGACTGCACTTCGGGTGGCCAGGAGGCCACAGTGACGCGCACACGGGGGGCACGGTGCGAGTGGGGACTGCCCGGCGGTGCGCCGTTAGTGACCCTCGCACCGTTGCTCCCCGGCCCCGCGCACGGCGCGGAGAGTTCAACTCTGCCTCTGGCTGGATGGAACACAGTGACACGCACACCTCCATCTTTTTCTTCGCACGAACGTGGTGAGGCCTTGTCTAATAGTCCTCCCTTTTCCCCCTCTCCCAATAGTCTTCCCTTTGTCCCGAAGGCTCCGCTTACCATCTGTTCGTGGAATACACGCGGTTTGTTCAGCTCTGTCAAGCGTTCAGGATGGCGTGCCAGCGCACGCTACTCACTCCTCCTCTCGCTCCCTCGCAGATTCGCTATCACGTGCTGCCAGGAAACACACGGACACATAGGAGATATCGGAGAGCTCCATCGCGAGCTGGGCTCGGCTTCCTCGGGCTGGTCGATTGGATCCTCGTTCTTCCCCGACTCTCAGCGTGAAGGAGGGGTCGTCACGATCATCAGTAGCGAGCTTAGTCAGCTGTTCGACACTATTACACATAATCCGATTATTACTGGTCGTATTCTCCATAGTCGTCTCTCTGGTCTGAATGGGTCCATCAGTATATTCAACCTCCACCTCCCTAACACGAGTGACTCTGTTGCCACGTTCTCCCGCGCGCTGTCATTGCTTCGGTCTGAATTCCAGAAGTACCCGAACGATCATAGGATCTTGATTGGGGACTTTAACTTTGTGCCTGAGGAGGAGGGACGTATGCTGTATGACGGGTCGGGATGGAGAGCAGGTGATCGCGCTCAGGCCAGGCTTTTTCAACGACACTTTCCTCACCTCACTGAATTTTACCAAGAGCAGGACACTAGGCGGGAGGTCAGGGATGGGGTCATTACTCTTTCGGCACGTTTGGATCGGGCGTACACCTCCCTTCCTCAAGCCATCATACGTGACCTGGACATACGCTGTGGCGTCCTGGGCAAGCTCAAAGCAAAAATGGCTAGCGATCACATCCCGATTTTCATCAATATCGAGCCCTTCAGGCCCCAAGATGGCCCCAAAAACATCCCGAAGTGGATCTCGAAGCACCCGGAGTTCCAACGGTTCCTGGAGGCCGCCATTGCAGATATGTCCACGGAGCTAGGTCCCTGGGAGCGCCTTGAGCAGCTCAAGGGGTTGATGTTCGCCTCGGCCGCGCACGTGCGCGAGTTTGTCAAGCACGAGGTTGCCAACACACTCGAGCTTAAGCAGTATTGGGCCTTGCAGGCTCTTCGAGGATGGCGACTGGGCAAAGATTGGCTAATCCACCGTGCACTTAAATGCTACCCTACGTTACAGTCGCATTTTTGCCTCACCACGTTTCAGTGTATCCGCCTGGAGGGCCTCTGCAGTCTCATTCGCAGTATCCAGATGCAATTGATTGATGAGGAAGCACGGGAACTTGAACTAGCAGACCTCTCCCCTGAAGTCAAAGCCTCCAAGAAAAACCGAGTCAATCGAATGCAGGAGCTGTGGCGACGCTTTAAGAGTCGTACCTGTCTGACTGGCATATACGATGAGAATGGTGTACCCTGCAGGTCTGTCGACCACTCCGCCGAGGTCCTTAAGTCTTATTGGTCTGCTGAGTTTTCCGCTCCTCCTCTGAACGTCGATGAATGGGCTGAGATTGATGCTTTCATCCAACCTATCCCTGAACCCCTTCCTCGAGCCTGGAAGCTTTCATACGGGGAATGGTATGACTATGTGAGGTCGCGGGTCCACAGTATGCCGGGTGAAGATGGGTTGCCATACGGGGTCTGGAAGATTCCTGATGCGTCCCGTCTGTTATACGATGTCTATCTTACCCTCTTTACAGATGACGTTCACGAGCTGCCTACCCAAATGAGGCGGAGCCTCATGGTCTTCCTACCGAAGGGCACAGAACCTCGGGATAAGCATGATGATGTTCTTCGACACCCTAGCTGCACGCGCCCGCTCAGCATGTCAAATACAGATGTGAAGATCTTAGCTGGTGCCATGTCTTGTTCGTTAGCCGCCAACACCAGCAGCTTGATCTCGCCCGAACAGAAGTGCGTTGCTGGCAGGGATATGCTCACTAATGTTGTGGAGGCGGAGGGTTGGGGGTTGGAACAACACGTCCTCGACAGAAAGAACTCTTGCCTCTTCCTCACAGACTTTTGCGCCGCGTTCCCTTCGCTGGCGATCCCGTGGATGCTGCACGTGCTAGTCACTATGAAGGTATGCCCTTATGTTTGCAAGTTTTTCAGCCTTCTCTACATGTCTAATATTGCCATCATCTGCCTGGGTGGAAGGATCCATGGAGAGTTCATCATGTCGAGCGGGGTCAAACAGGGCTGCCCGAGTAGTATGCTTCTTTTTGTACTTGCTGCAGACCCTCTGCTTCGTTGGGTTCGTTTCAAGGCGTCAGCGCACATCGACAGGACTTTCGCCTACGCCGACGATTTCTGCTTTGGTCTCAGAGACGTTTTCCGCTCCCTGGGCCCCCTCCTCGCCCTGCTGACTCGGCTCGAAAAGATTGCGGGACTCAGGCTTAACTTCAAAAAGTGTCAGATCCTGGTCGTGGGCTCCCTTGATGTGAACCTCCTGAGGGACTCGGTTCGGTTGCTTGTGGGTGAGTTCAAAAAGATCCAGGTCTTAGAGGTTGTCAAATACTTAGGTATCTATATCGGCCGTGGTGCCGAGATGGTTGCGTGGTGCGAGGCCGCCCCAAAGTTTCGTCGCCGTGTCGGGATCACCAGACAGCTGGGCCTCGGTCTCACACGTTCGGCGCTGGCCTTCAAAGTCATGTGTGTCTCCATCTTGTCCTTCACTCTACAACTTCACCCTGTATCCCCTGCTCTTCTTCACATGTATAAGGAGGCGGTCATGTACCTCACTGCGGGGCCACGAAACTCACTCTCATACGACTTATGTACGCAGTTATCTAGCTTCCATCTTCCTGTGGAATTTCAGGACCTTCAGACTCTTGCCCGTGCAACGTGCCTTCGCTATGTTATTCGCAGCAGCACTTTCAGTATCACGTTGTCGAGGCTGGAGGCCCTGCGAGATGAACGTGAAAGTATCTTCGTTCGGTTTTGCAGTGGATGGTGGAATTCATCTTTCCTTGCATATATGCGCCGGCTGTATGAGTGGTATTTCAGTCTGCCTCGCACTCCGTCGAGTCCATCTCCCCCTACTATCTTAGCACGCATCCCATCTGAACACAAAAAGCTTCAACATTTACTTTATGGTATGCTCTGGGCCAACACGTCGCGTCGAGAACACCCACACAGTATTCTACAGCGTCGTATTCAAAAATGGTTTCCCCTAGTACAGCGTGAGATGGTTGACAGGTTTTTCATCAATGCCCACTACGTGATTCAGAAAACACAGCCGTATATGATAGTGTCGCTCCTCAGATTCCTCTCGAGATCAGTCTGTACTTCGACCCGATTTCATTCGGCGGCGAAAGGCTGCCTCCTGGGGTGCCCACACGCGCAAGGTCGTGACCTTGACTCAGTTGCTCACTATGCTCGCTGCCCCCGTCTCTTTCATCTATTTCATTGTTGGCTTGGACACATTCTTCCACCGTCGTCGTCGATTCCTGAGGGGTATCCCTGGCTCTTCCCCGCACTCCTTCTTTCACCCTCACCACGTTCGTCTAATGTTCTCTTTGCCGCCTGTATCGATGCGTTCCTCGCTGCCCATTCCGCCAGGCGTAAGGGCACCCCAGGAACCCCAGCTGAACACTTCGAAGCTCGGCTGCGAGTTACTGCTCGCCGCCACCCTTTCCTTTCACGAGCGTGGAGTCAGCAGGCCGCTGTGCAGTTCTCTAGTTCCTCCTCCTCCTCTCCCCGTGTGCGTGTCACCGCTGCTGCTGCTGAGGGATCTCAGCCTGGGCGGGCCACTACAGGCCGCGGAAGGTGGCTTGAAGTGCCCGAAGTGGGGTCTTGAGGCACAGTGCCCTCAAGCATCGCAAAGAAGTTCAGGGGTTGATAGGGGTAAAAAAAAAAGAAAAAAAAGAAGGCCCCAGGAATTATGTACCAACCCAGCGGCCGCTGGTACATAACTCCTGGGTCCCTCTTGCGGCCCTCTTGGAGCCCTCTTGGGCCCCTGGTTGGCCCCAAGAGGGCACCGAGAAGGCCCCAGGAATTATGTGCCAACTCAGCGGCCGCGGGTACATAACTCTTCGGGCCCTCTTGGGGCCCTCTGAGGGCCCTCTTGGAGCCCTCTTGGGCCCCGGGTTGGCCCTAAGAGGGCCCAAGAGGGCCCCAAGAGGGCTCCAAGAGGGCCCCAGGAATTATGTACCAACCCAGCGGCCGCTGGTACATAACTCCTGAACCCTCTTGGGGCCCTCTTGGAGCCCTCCCGGAGCCCTCTTGGGCCCCTTGTTGGCCCATATGATGGCTCCAAGAGGGCCCTAAGAGGGCCCCAAGACGGGCCCAAACGGGGCCCAAGAGAGGCCTCGCAAACCGCGAGTAGGTGCCATCGAACAGCGCGTCTGGGTGGTCTCTGGGGCGCGTCTTGGAGCCCTCTTGGGGCCCTCTGGAGCCCCGTGGGTGCTCCTAAAAAGGTTCCAAGGGACATCCGAGGGGGTGGAAGGCGGAGGTGGAGGGGGAGGTGGAGGGGGAGTTGGAGGGGGAGTGGAGGGGGAGGTGGAGGGGGGCGGAGGGGGGTGGTGGAGGGGGGAGTGGAGGGTGGGGCGGGGTTTGATTAGGAAACTGGAAGAGGTTTGACGACCACGACGACGACGACGACGACGACGACGACGACGACGACGACGACGACGACGACGACGACGACGACGACGACGACGACGACGACGACGACGACGACGACGACGACGACGACGACGACGACGACGCGACGACGACGACGACGACGACGACGACGACGACGACGACGACGACGACGACGACGACGATGACGAGTGGGCGCCTTGGAGTTCTCGTGGGCCGTCTTGGAGGCGCCTTGGGGGCCTCTTCGACCGTTAGGAGGCCGTCATGGGGCCGTCTTGGAGGCCTCTTGGGCGCTCTTGGGGCCATCTTGGGGGTCTCTTGGGCGGCATTGGGCCGTCGGCAGGCCGGAAACGTCAAAATCCGTCAAGAGCCCGCGGGAAATCAGCTGTCCTTGCCTCTTCGGGCCCTCATGCAGGTCCCCCTGGAGGCTTCTTGGACTGCATTAAAAGCCTCTTGGGGGCCTCTGGGGCCGTCCTGGGCCATCTTGGAACGCCTCGGGTGCATCTTGGGCCGTCTTGGAGACACATTGGGGCCATCTTGGGCTCTTGGGGCAATCCTAGCCGCCTTGGAGGCATCTTGGTGGCCATCTTGGGCCATTTGGGCCGTCTTGGTGGCGATGTGGGCCACACCTTCTGGTCCTTCCGAGGGGCAGGCGGTCTGGTCCCTCCGAGGAGTAGGAGGAGGAGGAAGAGGAGGAGGAGGAGGGGGTGGTGGAGGAGGAGGGAGGAGGGAGGAGGGAGGAGGGAGGAGGGAGGAGGGAGGAGGGAGGAGGGAGGAGGGAGGGCGCAGGGAGCCGGCCACGGCCGCAGAGGGAGCCAGCGAGGCGCTGGGCGGCGCCGCGCTGCCGGGCTGCCGGGCAACCCTGCTGAGGCCCTGGGCGGCGTGGGGGAGCAAGGCGGGTTGCTGGGGCGCGAGCTGCAGCGGCACTGGGGGCGCGGGCGCGCCGCGCAGGGCGCTGGCCCGGTACTGGGCACTCGCGGCTGCACCGAGCTCCCCAGCGCCAGTGCCTTCTCGCGCATGGAGGCGCAGGGGGGCGGCGACGCGCGGATCAGCAGTGGCGACATCTCGAACACTTTCTACGCCATGCAGGTCCCGGAGCGCCTCTGTGAGTTCTTCTCCCTGCCGCTGTGCGGGCTGGGCTTGCTGGCGTGTCTCAGTTGGATGACGTCCTTTTGCGCGAGTCGGAGCTGTTGCTGCTGCTGCTGGGGCTCACCATCCTGCCCATGGGCTTGTCGTGGGCCCTCCACCTCTGCCAGTGCGTCTCGGAGGTCGCCCTCGCGCGCGCCCGCGTGGCACCCAAACAGCAGGTCCGCGACCGCAGCCTGGGCGCCCGGCTCGGGCCAGGGCTCCCCCCGCTGGGGCGGCCTACGTAGGCGACTATCTGGCGGCTGGCTGCCTGTGCGCGAAGGTGCAGGCCGTGGCGCAGAAGGTCGAGCGGGAGCTCTATTCGCTCGGCTTCGTCGTGCACGAGACGGTCAGCGCCGCGCGCCTGGCCAGCTTCGTCGGCTTCGACCTCGACGGGCACGAGCACTCAGCGCGGGTCTCTGCCCGCCGCGCCTGGCGGCTCCGCTGCGCCATCGAGGAGCTCGTGCGGCGCGCGGTGGTCAGGGGCGCGCTCCTCGAGATCGCCCTGGGGCGCTGCACCTGGGTCCGCCGCGAGCTCTGGCGCGTGCGCTCGCTGCCCCCGCTGTTCGTCTGCCTCGCGGGCGCGGAGTGGCATCGCGAGGTCGCGGCCAGTGGCGCCTCTGGCTGGGGCTGCGGAGTCTGCCGCCGTCGCTGCTCGCCCGAGGCCGTCGCCGAGGACTCGGCCCGCGCGCGCGAGCGCGCGCTGGGGTCGGCGAGCGCCGCCTCCGTGCTCCGCGACCCTGCCCGCTGGCCGTCCGAGGTCGCCAACGACTGGGGCAAGGCTTTCGGCGAGGTCGACCCGAAATTGGCGGTCGGCGACAGCGGGGCGGTCACGCATTCGATCTCGTGGCGCGACGCCCGTCAAGTCTACCGCGCTGAGGGCCTTGCGCTGGGCTCCGCGCTTCGGCGCCAGCTTCGCGCGTCCGACGCCTTCGGCTCGCGGATCGTCTGCCTCGTCGACAACGTGTCGTTTTCGCTCGCCATGGGCAAGGGCCGCGGCGTCTCCGCCCAGCAGCGCGGCGTCCTCCGGGAGATTTGCGCCCGCGCGCTCGCCTGCAGGCTGCGCGTTATTGCCAGGCGGATCCCTGGCGAGATCAACCCGTCCGACGGCCCGTCGCGCGGGCTGCCGTGCATCAAGCGCGTGGGCCCTGACTTTGCTGCTGGCCTTGGCGATCGCCTCTCCCATCGGCCCGGCAGCCGCCGGCAAAAAGGTGCGTCCGGCAGAGCCGCCGATGCCGACGGGCCGCCCGCGCCTGGCTGCCCCCCTTGGACGATGGAGCTGGCGTTCTCGGGGCGCCGCAGCCTGTGGCGGCGGCTGCCCGCCAGCGCGAGGCGGTGAAGGGGTGCCTGCAGCTGGGCATCACCTACCTCGAGCAGAGGTCGGTCGGCAAGGGCGCGCTCTCGGACTACCGGCGGAGGGTCGGCAGCTTCGTGGAGTGGTGCTTGGGCCTCCACTTGGATTTCGGCAATTGGGCCCAGCTGGACGTGGCCGTCACGATCTATTTCGACTACCTGTACTTCCACGGCTACAGAAGGGGCGACGCGTCGCGGCTCCTGTGGCGGCCCTCGATTTCTTCCTGCCGCCGATCGGCCGCGGGGGCGACCAGGCGCTTTGCCGGGCGTCGCGCAGCCTGGCGGGCTGGGGCAAGCGCGCCCCGCGCCGCGCGCGGAGACCTATTCCTTGGCTCGTGGTCGCGGCCGTGGCGGGCGCCATGCTGACGCGAAGGCAGTTTGAGCAGACCGTCGCGATGATCCTCAGCTTCGCCTGCTACCTCCCTGTCCGAGTGCGACCTGCTGATGGCGTTGCAGGTGGCCCCACCCGTCGGGGGGGCCGCTGGGAGTTCGGGTCTCGCCGCGCTGTTCCTCTACCCGAACGGGCTGGGGCGCTCCAGCATGACGGGCCTCTGGGGCTTCACCGTCGCCCTCGGCGCGTTCCTGGTCCCAGCGCGCTTGGGCCTCGAGTGGCGGGCCTCGACGCCGTCGACGCGCCTGTGGACACATTCTCGCGGGGGTCTCTCGGTGTGGGCATGGCGGAGGCGGCCTGCACGCTCGGGCTGACGGACTTCCCGGCCCCGGCCTGCGGGCTGCGCCGCGGGGGGGCATCCGACGACCTCTTGGCGAATCGCCGCTGTGCCCTGGAGGTTCAGCGGCGCGGTGGCTGGGTGCCCGACGAGAACTTCTGTTTTTGCGTCGAGCAGGCCCGGATCATCGCCGAGCTGCAGCAGGCGGGCGCCCGCCGGATGGGCGAGCAGCTCGCGGCGATCTCCTTGCAAGCGCCGCGGCCCCCGTGCGGTCACCGACTTCGCCCGGGCTCTTGAGCTGGCGTCCACCCGCGAGAGGTAGCCCCCGACTCTGTCGATCCGTCGGCACCTAATCAGAGAGTTGCATGGCGCTTTCGAGTCGCAGAAAGGTTCCTCTCGTACGGTGGATTTGTTCGCGGGATCAGGCCGCCTCTCTGCATCCGTCTGGTGGCGAGGACTTGCAGCCCTGCCAATTGATTTCGCTTCGAAGCCTTGGTTCGACATGGGCCTGCGGGCCATCCGCCAAACCATCAGAAGCTGCGTCCGCGGAAGGGGTGTGCGGCGCTATCTGGATCGCGCTCCCTTGCAGCTCATGGAGCCAGGCCCGCCGCGGGCCGACGGGGACTTCCTGGTGTACCACCCGTTCTCGGGACCACTTCTGAGGGCTCCCCAACCTGGGGCTTCGACCCGGGGCGGCCGTCGAGATCGGGAACGCGCAGCTCCACTTCGCCCTGGGCCTCGTGTCGCTGTGCCGCTCCATGGGTGTCCCCGTCTATTTCGAGAACCCCGGTTCGTCGTGGGTCTGGTCGACCCCAGGCTTGCAGCCCTTATCGGAAGCCCCCGACGCATCGATCGGTCTTCAATCTCGACATGTGCGCCTTCGATGCCCACCAAAGGAAGTTCACCAAGGTGGCCTGCTGGGCCCGCCATCATCCTGACCCCCCCCCAGTAGCCCGTTGTAACTGTAGGAATGTTTTCCTCTCTGAGAAACCCCACATCGTTTTTTCCGGTCACGACCTTGTCTCGGGCATTCTCTGGACCCGATTTGCCGAACCTTATCCAGTCAAGTTTGGCAGCCATTTCTTTGGATTGACTGCTAAACAAACGGCTTTCCAGGTTTTGCGCGAATGGTTTCCGTTGCCTGTCCCCTTTCCTGTCCATATTCGTAATATGTGTTAATGTGTTTTTCGGCATCGCTTTGCTTCGCCACTTGACCTCTCGGGCTCGGATCTCCTCCTCGGTGGTGTTTGTCGGTGGTCTTGTGCCTCTTTCTCTCTTCCTCGCCCCTCCTCGTGCTTGCATGCTCGTCGCTCGCCAGCTGCACTCGTCGGTGGAATCGCCCGGGACGCCCGCCCCACAGAAATGTTGGTGTCGCTTGGGGTGTAGCAGGATATGATGATGACGATGATGGTGGTGATGATGACGATGATGATGATGATGATGATGATGATGATGATGATGATGATGATGATGATGATGCTGATGCTGATGATGATGATGATGGCAAATGACAATGCTGATGATGATGTTGCTGATTCTTGTTGTGGTGGTGATGATGATTTTATGCGGATGATGCTGATGATGATGGTGATGGTGAGGGTGTTGATGACGTTGGCGACGACGGCGACGACGACGACGATGACCATGACCAGGACCACGATGATGATGATGACGATGACGATGCTGATGATGACGGTGACGGTGATGATGATACTGATGATGATGATCGTGATGATGATGATGCTGATGCTGATGCTGATGCTGATGATGATGATGACGGTCATGATGACGATGACGACGATATTGATGATGATGATGATGATGATGATGCTGATGCTGATGCTGATGCTGATGATGATGCTGATGATGATGGTGGTGATGATGATGGTGGTGATGATGATGACGGTCATGATGATGACGACGATAGTGATGATGATGATGATGATGATGATGATGCTGATGCTGATGCTGATGCTGATGCCTGATGCTGTTGATCATTGTGATCATTACGATGATGATCATTATGATGATGATGATGATGATGATGATGATGATGATGATGATGATGATGATGGTGGTGGTGGTGGTGGTGGTGGTGGTGATGATGATGATGATGATGATGATGAGGAAAAGAAGGAGGAGGAGGACGAGGAGGAGGAGGAGGAGGAGGAGGAGGAGGAGGAGGAAGAGGAAAAGAAGACAGGATGTGTCTGCCACTCTTCAGGTCTCCACCGTGGTGATAATCACCGTTCTCCTCGCGGGGGCCTCGGGCGCCTGGCCGCCGGGGGCGCGCGCGCGTCGGAGGCTCGGGCGCCGCCCGTCGGTGGCCCTCCTGAGGAGAACTCGACGGTGGGGGGGGGATCTGCAAGGGCGCGAAGATGACCGCACTCCGCGCCTCGCGGCCTGGGCCGGAGCGCTGTTCCTCTCCGGGTGGCAGAGCGCGCGCCGCGCTCCGCGATTCGCGCGGCGATGCGCGAAGCTGGGTGACCGGGGGGAGGACGGAAGCCCAGGAGGAAACAAACGTGCACAGGCACAGATAACCGCCGATTCCCCGGCAAATATGGGGAGGTATGGGAAGAGTGAGTGTCGGGGGCGGAAAAAAGGGGGGTGAGTACTAGGGGGGTGGATATCATGGCGGGGGGCATGATACTTCCCCAGATTTCATGGCGCCTCTTCTTATTTCAATACGGTCCCGGCCCCCCCGCTGGGCCGCACACATGCCGCCAGCCATGTTTTGCACCCCCCCCTTGGACACCCCCCTCTTGGCCGCTCCTGAGAGTGGGAGGGCGAGAGTCCACAACATCTGGGCAGATGTGGGGAATCCTGGGATTCGTGTCTATTTCTTGCTGTGCACCTGGGCCCCCTCAGAAGAGAGGGAATGGAGGGGAGGGGAGGGCGGGGTCGAGGGATGCGGTGAGGGAGGGAGGCAGACGGGCACGGCCGAAGGAGGTAGGGCGCAGGAGGCAGCAGGAGGGACGGAGCAGGAGGGAGGGGAAGGAGGGTTTGAGGGGGGAAGGAGGGGGAAGCAGCAAACTGAACAACAATCGGGGGCAGCTGGAGGAGCGCAGGATTATTCGTACTCGGCTCATTGTGCGGTTCTCCAGGCAGCGGCAACTCATGCGACGTAGGAGGCCTTTGTCCACAGCTCGACGCCGTGT